CTGAGCATTGCTTCCTGCCTCCTCTCATCATGCTGACTCTACCTATCATCTTGATCCCGCCACCTGCCATCTCGCGCATCCCTCCTGTCCTCGCATTCATTTTGTGCTTTCCTGCACTCTGACATTGTCTGCCTCCACGCATTCAGCTGGGCTCTTTCAGTGAAGGAGGACTGCATGAGCTCAGAGAACATTGCATTGCGAGTGTTTTTTTTTTCACCTTCTAATCTTCACTAGCCTCTGGGACGGAGATGATACGGGGAGCGTTGAAACATTTGCAGCTGCAGGAGGGAAAAAAAGGAGAGTAGTCTTTAAAAAGTCACACTTTAGAGAACAATGGGTAGACTCTTTCACAGTGAACCCTGCTGTTAACATTACATAGCACGTGTGCTTTCTTTACAAGGTCGCATTTTGCCTCTTATATTGAGGGCCTGCTGGTTTGGTGTGAAAGATCACACACGCAGGGCCAGCGGGCAACAGAATTCGGCTTGCAGGCAGCCATGGTAAGCCACAGTCTTTTGGCTTCTTTAACCTTCATAACACGTGGGAATGGTTTCAAACAGCAGCGCCCTCATTTCACATACCAGGCACCTTCTGGGTTGGCCATTTAAAATGGGTTGGCCATTTAAAAAGAGGGGCTGCGGTTTCTGGGTTAACATGCAGCACAAACCCAACTAAACCCCCACACACACACCCAATTCTCTGGAATGATCACTTCACCCCACACTCCACTCCATGGATAACAGGCTTTGGGAGTACATCCACGAGAGCTTCATTGTAATGTCCCTGGAGGATGTCTGCTCCATCTCCATACACCCCCATAGATTTTTCCAGTAGCTGTACTGGCCATGAATGCATCCCAAGTCTTCAGGGCAAATTAATCATTAAACACCCTTGATTTTAAACCATGTATTATATTTACAAAGGTACATTCACCAGAGGTCCCTTCTTTGCCTTCTAGGTCCAGGAGCCCGCTTTCGGTGGGTTGGAAGGGTACTAGATCCAGGGTAAAAAACAGTTCCTGGCTGTCAGGGAAAACGGTTTCTTTGCTTGCTTCCTGTGCGCTATCTTCAACCTCCTCCTCCTCCTCATCTTCCTCGTCCCCAAAATCCGCATCCCTGTTGTGTGAGAATCCATTGACCGAGTCTACGCATAGGGCTGAGGTAGTTATAGGGGCACCCCCTAGAATGGCATGCAGCTCATCATAGAAGTAGCATGTCTGGGACTCTGACCCGGAGCAGCTGTTTGCCTCTCTGGTTCTTTGGTAGGCTTTCCTGAGCTCCTTAAGTTTCACGTGACACTGCTGCAGGTCCCTGTTATAGCCTCTGTCCTTCATGCCCTTGGAGATTTTTTCAAATGTTTTGGCATTTCGTCTTTTGGAATGGAGTTCTGATAGCATGGATTCCTCTCCCCATACAGTGATCAGATCCAGTACCTCCCGTTCGGTCCATGCTGGAGCTCTTTTGCCATTCTGGGACTCCGTGGTCACCTGTGCTGATGAGATCTGCATGGTCACCTCTGAGCTCGCCATGCTGGCCAAACAGGAAATGAAATTCAAAAGTTTGTGGGGCTTTTCCTGCCTACCTGGCCAGTGCATCTGAGTTGAGAGTGCTGTCCAGAGCGGTCACAATGGAGCACTCTGGGATAGCTCGGGGAGGCCAATACCGTTGAATTGCATCCACACTACCCCAAATTCGACCCAGCAAAGTCAATATCAGTGCTAATCCCCTCGTCTGGGAGGAGTACAGAAATTGATTTTAAGCATCCTTTAAGTCAACAAAAATGGCTTCATCGTGTGGACGGGTGCAGGGTTAAATCGATCTAATACTGCTAAATTCGACCTATACTCATAGTGTAGACCAGGGCTGACACACAATAAAAATGGGAATCACCTAATGACATTTTGCTCAGTCCCCTTTTTAGAATATAAATTCATTTTCAGGTTCAGTTTGAATTTTAGGCCTGGTCTACACTGGAGGTGGGGGGGTCGATGTAAGATACGCAACTTCAGCTACGGGAATAGCATAGCTGAAGTCAGCATATCTTATTTCGACTTACCTCCTGTCCTCATGGCGCGGGATCGACAGCCGCGGCTACTGCCACTCGCCCTGATGGAGTTCCGGAGTCGACGGGAGCGCGTTCGGGGATCGATCACTACCTGCCGATCCGGCGGGTAGTCTGGACGTACCCACTGATGAGATTTCATATTGGTTCTTATTTCATTCATCCTTAGTTTTCACCTGGTTTTGTTAGAATTCCGAAGAATTTACTTCATACATTCAGTCACCTGCTCTTTATCTCTCTTATAAATCTCAGGTATAGTTTCATTCTTGGCAAGCTATATAAAGCTACTGAAGCATGCTAACAATTAGGGAAAGTCACTACTTGACTGCAAGGAATAAAAGTTTCAGATCCTCACATCAAATGAAAATGGACAACTATTCTAGCTGACAGTTTGCTCCCCAAAAACATTTGTTATTTTGTCATAGTGTATTGCTAGGGGAGAAAATCTGCAGAAACAGGAGACAATCACTGATCACAGTCATTAGTACTTTTTGAAAGATTATTGCCAACTTCAAAGAGGTACTTGAAATAAAAGGACATGCATAATAATAATAATCATATCATAGCTTTCACTTTTCATTCCTGATCTGTCTCCTAGAGCCCTCTCTCTCTCCCCCTCCCCCTTTCCTCTTCTCACTTCATTCTTCTTTGAGGCCCAATTTTGTTCACTTTTCCTCTTTGGATTGTAAGTCAAATGTGTAGAAAGCAGGGCTTCACCTGCTTTACAGACCATGTTTATGTTTCTTTTTGTTAACACACATCAGGTACAATTAGTTTTCTACACCACTGAAAACTCTAATGTGACTGGGCTCCATATGTTTTAAATAAAACTCAAGGTCTTGTTTACATTTTTCATGAATTAAACACCTTTTTTTGTAGCTGTTGGTAGGCTATCCAGATAATCATCATGAGTGAGGCCTGTTATTTGTCATTATATAAAATTAAATCAATTACCAGATGTGTAATCAAGTCAGTATTTCTGCAGGAGAGTCACTTAATAAAACAAAACTGTATATAAATTACATAGTGGTATTTGTTGCACAGAGAGAATCATACCACTAGTTTATAATTCTATCTATATCCTTAATGTAAACAATCTGATTTTAGTAATAAAAAATTTATATGCTATGTACAAGTGATATCACTTTCAAATCTCATCTCTTCAGAAACCACTCAGTGTGGGTAGCAGGAGCAACCTACTAGAAGAAAATACTTTGGGAACAAAGCATTGAGAGACTTTAGCCATTTATATTTGAATATGAGTAGAGCTCATTGAATAGTATCTTAGTTGTGTAAGTGGGTAAATATTATCCAGTTTTGATCTTCATATTTATGTGATGCCTGGAACAAATGTCCATATAAATCATATTTATAATCATAAAGGGAAGAGATGAAAAAATCTCAAAAGGTAAATCATGTAGTTAATACCCTTGCTCTATCTGTCGGATTATTCCTTATACTGTTTTTGTAGTGCTCTATAGCACCTAAGCAGTGAATGGTGTAATGTAGTGTGAACTATATTTCTGACGTCAAATAAAAGCTATTAGATTATGCATGTACAATGGAAAAGATATTAATGAAACTGAAGCTATATTTCCAATAATACCATATTGTTCTGTAATTATAGCAGGGGCTGTAGGAACCCTTATATCTGGGTAGCCTAACTTTCTATTATACAAGATTCTTACAACCCTTTGAGAAGCTCTAACACCCCTATTGTTTGTAATAGGCCTTATAATAGTCATCAGAGAGAAAGCCCGAGGGCCAGAGAAGTGCACTCTCTTTATGCCTTGAAAATTCCATTCAGATTTAGGTTAGTTATAAATTGTTGAAAATCACCATGTACTTTCCTTCACTTGTGCTGCGAGTAAAATGTTGGCACTGTGCCACAATAATAACTGAACATCAACATTTTTAACAAAGTTTGGGCCACACCACCACCAAAGCAGCAGCTGCACTCAAAACCCAAGAAGTAGCCAGCCAGAGTGGCGAGGAAGAGATGAGTGCCAGGCTCATCCCAACAACTCCACATGGAACCAGCAAATAGCCCCCAGTGGGCTATTCCTCTTTCCCCAGGGCCCCTTAGCAAATGTAGTTAGCTTTGCAGCTCAAGTAGTAGCAGCCTGTGCTGCAATGGTGAAGCTTCATGGCTTAAATCTTGATGATGATGCACAGTGGGGATGTGACATTTGCACATATTTTTTCCCTAAAAAACCCTGCAAGTTTATTTGTATGCAATTTTCTGTGTTAAAAGAACATTATTTAGGCTGTAATGAAAAACACAAACTAGGAAATCCTAGAATTTAGGCTGCCTGAGGTGTCTTCATTTGGTTCCTTTTACGTATGCATTATAGTAGATTCTTTAATTGCATGATCATATGTTATTTTTCCACAGGATCCTGCTCATTCAGTTCACAGGAGCAACAGAGTGGGTAGTGAATGAAGCTGTCTGTAGGATCCCTGCCTCTTTTGCTTCAGAGTTGGCACACTTGTAAAGAATGAGGCAGAGAACCAAAGAAAAAGAAGGATGCTCTTTTGGTGGTTAAGGCTAGTGAATATTCAGGTCTACCCCTTCCTTCACCACAGACTTCCCTCATGATGCTAAGCAAGTCACTTCAATCAGTTTTGGCAGGTGACCAACAACTGCGTGTTCATCATTTTCTGAGTGCCCAACCCAATATATCTGGTCCTGATTTCTACAAGTGTGCTGCACTTCCAACTGCAACTAATTTGTGTTTCCCGCTTTGTAAAATGGGAAGAATAATAATTTCTTATCTCACAGGAATGTATGGAGATAAATACTAATCAGGCACTTAGATGCTACAGTGATAAGTATCCTAGCAAAGGCCATGAGGAAATGAATAATTCCTTATTAAAAGTGGGGTTTGAATAATTTGCAGTAAATAAAACAGGGACTATGATAATGTGCTTTTTTTCAGAAGAAAACTGCCTCATTCAGTGCAGAGGTTGGATGGTGCTCAAGGAAACAGGTAGCTGTTTAATATTTCTTTGTATTCTCATCATTCAATGTTAATATTTGCTATCCATTAGAAAAGCTAGACCACTGCTTTTCTGCACTGACTTACATCCTGTGAAATCACATTCTTGTCTTACTGTTCCCTCCTCCTGTCATTCAGATCTTTATTCATACTGCTTCCTATGCCTAAAACAATCTCCCTTGTAATATGCACTAAATACCTCATTCTTCTTCAAATCCTTCAACTACTCATTCAACCTTGCTTTCCATCACTCATGTTCACACCCGTGCAATCCATTCCTCCTCCATTGCCCCCATTTTAGTCTTAATCACAGAATCTGCAAGTACCCACTTGCTCTATAGTATTCACATTGAGCCAGATCTTCAGCTGGTGTAAATTGACATAGCTCCAGTGAAGCCAAGGCACAATAAATAAATAAATAAATAACCAGTTGCTCAGCTGGTAATTGGTATAATTGCATAGGCTTTATTGGAGCTACTCATTCCCACCAGCTGGAGATTGGGTTCTTTATGTCCTACCCCCTCATTTATTTATCTTCATGTTTTATGTTGGCCTACTTTAGATGGATGGGAGGGAATCTTTCTATTAAGGCTGTGAAAATGTTTGAGAATTCCTGCACTAACTGAAATGTGGGAATTGAGAGTCAAGGTGTCAGAAACTGGTATTCCTTTTGAGATACCACATATGCTAGAATCACCAGCTTCTTTAACAGACTGGCAGCAGGAATTACTTGTATTGTTTTGTGCAAGAAAACACAAGGCCTCAGCAATAATATTTCATAGTCAAAGAGTTCTCTTAGTTCCTGGCACTCTAAATGCTTAAGACTGGGATTCAGAGGACATAAAACCTGCAGCCTTGTAATGAAAAAATGATTACACTTATATTCTTCCCATGGGGAAGAAAGACTCTTCTCATTTAAAATAAGATTGCTGCAAGCCGGCCAACAAATATACAGTAATTGTTTGATTTCAGCACGGGGCTTGGATCCAATATACACTGTAGCTTCACAGCCATATTAGTGAACATATTTCCCCCCCCCTTTCTTTTTCTTTATTTAGATAAAAACAGATTATGGAGAGTGAATCTTGGTTCTCTTATCCTCATTCTCTGCAGCCAATTCTCAAATGTAAAATGTCAGAGATTTACCAGTAGTATTGTAATACCCTAACATTAAACAAATGAAGTTTTTTAATCTTCCTTACAATTTTGTATCTGCTGTCATAGTTGTGACTTCCAACAGGTAAGGCAGAAAAAAGGAAGGTTAGTAATGGGCAAATATTAAGTGATCAGCATCCAGAAATTATGATTAATTACTTATGCAAACTTTATTCCAATGTATCTGAACCTCTTGGGCCTGATTCTGTCCTTCAAGTCTGCAAAACTGAACTGGAAATCTTCTGAGAAAATTTCCTTTCAAGTTTTGGGGACTCCAACCTATGAAGGAACCTAGAGGCATATAAGACTGAAATAATGGGGAAAATAGTTCTCCAAGCATTTTTTGAACCAGTCTATTGTTATTTTATCTGAGTTCATGACGGGATAGGGAGGAAGAGAGGATCACAGACGCAGCCTCTCATTTGCCATTCTCATCTAAGGAGACGTGTTCTTTTCTACTGGATAAAATGGGTATTGTCTTTTTTTCCTTTGGTTTCTATTAAGATTATTCCTGTGTGTCTGATCTGAAATTGTAGCAGTTACTGTATCTACTAACTGATTCTTAACCAAATACTCAGCTGTTAATCCATCAGAATCTGAGTGGGACTTCAGTAGTGCAGAGTGCCTTATGTTGGCCCTCTAATTGGAGTGAACATCTCACAGTATTCCTGCTGTTTTGAATGCAAAATGTTGCAGTGAATCTAACTTGTGTGTAGTGAAAAAATATTCTAACAAAACATTTTCCTGTCAGACAATGGAGTTTAGTTGAAAGCAAGTTTTTTCCACTGGAAAAGATGAATTTTGGTCAAATTTTCCCTCCAGAAAAATAAATTAAACAACAACAACAACAACAACATTGTTTTGGATCAACATTACAATCTCTGGCTGCCTGAGCCATTGAGGTACCACTAAGGTGTTGTTATCCTGGGCCCCTTATGCTCCTGTTCTTCTCCGAGCCCAGCTTTCCAGCCAGACTACATGTCCCATTATGCATCATGATTTCTCTCTGTGGGTAACCCTTAGGTAGACACAGAGCATAATACTGACCCAAAACCAAAGGTTTACATTTGGGACTGTCAGAGTGATTAGTTTTGAATTAAATATCAAACAAAACATTGCTGGATAATTTTTTTTAACTATTTGTTTTGTGAAAAGTTTCAATATTTAGACTTCTTGTCCTGATTCAGGATGAAAACAAATGTTGAAATATCAGAATTATCGTGGGATTGAAAAACAACAACATTCCATCAGCTCTAGTGGTAAATGTCCAGTTTTTAAATGGCACCTACTTTATGTTTATATTTCATGTTTGTTTGTGAGAGGTGGGGAGTTCAGCCATTGTAGTGGAACTCCAAACCCAAAAGAAAATCCTTCATCTTTATTTGGATTTTATGATAGTTAGGGACCCCTCATGTCCTCCTTGAAATAAAATGGGCACTTGATATTGCTATGGTAGCAGGATCAAGCTCCTGTTTATTCATAGGTTATTAATCACATTGTCATCAATACTCTTCTCATTAAATGCTATTTTTCTGAAAAAAACCCTTCATTTGTGAAGAAAAAATTTGCTTTTGATAATTTATTTTATACTTGGTTCATATTACACATATAAACATTAATGGACCATTTGTAATGTCTACTTCATAATTTTTAACCATAATTAGTTTTGTTCTGTCACTTATGAATTAAAGTAAAATATTAACATTCCATAAGAAACATATCCCTCTTGACTCAATCTGGCCACATATTAAGCACTCCATTTATAGACTCCTCCATGTATGGTGACACTCCATTTATAGACTATTACAGTGAAGGAGAATTAGAGTTCCTAATTGTTTGAATGCTTTATAAAGTGAAAATTGCAATTCCAGGCAATGTTCCATCCATGTGTGGAATGAATTCTGTTATGTGCACCAAATTATCGAGATAATGTATGGCTGTGCACCACCAGTAGAAACAAAAAACCTAGATATATTATATTTTAAAAGTTACCATAGGGATAATTACTTCACCCAGGACAGATTAGACATTTTAGAACTCACTACTCAAATAATTAAATTTAAGCATAAGAAAAATAAATTATGAAATGCATGTGCATTGCAGGAAGTTTCAAGAAGTAACAACTACAACAACACAAGTATGTGTTGGGAGGTGAGTGTGAAAGACCGCCACTCCCCACACACACACAGCAAGCAGCGGCTCCAAGGTAGAGAGCAGGAGCAGCAAGGCAGTGGGGAGAGGGGCACCTGAAGTGTGCAGCACTTGATAGCCTGTTGGGCGGCTGCACAACTTAGAAGGAACTCAGTTTTCCCCATAGAACTTCACTGTAAATGAAGTTTCACTATATCTGGAATCTGAGTGTATATAACAACTATACAATATATTTTTAACTTAAGCCCTTCACAGCTGTTGGAATGTGCATATGCATATCTACAGTATATTTTTCTCAGAAGTTTAGAATAATCTTACTTTTTACTGAACCATCAGGATGCACCAAAAACATTAGGTTATATCAAATAAAGGTATTCTTTTGGATGTTGAAAAAATATTCATGGGTCAGAGTATAAGATTATTTCCTTCTCTCCCAATGGTATAATTGAGTGAGCCTGAGCATTAAAGTACATTCTATCCATGACAGGATGTTTCTAAGGTGCCCCTGAAGGCAACTTTCTTTGTATCAAAGAATCAAACTGTAGAATCAGCATTGCCAAAGACAACACACAAGACTAGATGCACAGATCTATTCTTGTAAGACAATCACTGTATTATTACAGTATCCGGCATATTGTTTGGCTTGTATATGGTTAAAAGTAAATTAATCACAAGTAGACTCTTTCATAACTGTATGCATATTCTTTTATTTTTACTTTGATATTGAGTAAAAAATACTTAAAGTTGCTCCTCTCCTGGCCAATCCTGCCCACCCCCAAGATATGGAGATCTTTTCTGGGGCATGTAGGGATTACACAGGCAACCCTGAATGATGATTCAACCAGATGGGGTTTAAGTAGGATGGATGGCTTTTAGTGGCCTGCACCAACCTTCTGACTTTGGGTAAATTTTACCCAGAGTACATTATTGCAAAAATGTTTAATGGTTGAAATTCGCCCATGTGCAGAGGGCCAGCACTAGACCTATGGACCACTGAAGTCCCACTTAGGCTTTTTTGTGAGGAGCATAGACCTTGTGTTGGTCCCGAGGGATGAACTCTGTCATATGTGAGTTGCAGAGAAGGGAATAAACAACAACATTAGCTCAGGAGAGCCTCTAAATGTTTGGAACTTTCAAATCATGCTCCAAGTTGTATTTGGTGAAGTCATTTGGAAACATCTCAAAATTGTATTTTTCCCCTCAAAGGATACGTGAAAAGCCATTCAACAAATTAATCTCTAGAATTTGCACAACAGTTTTGAATTATAAACTGCATTCTCTAACAGTTACAATAAACTAGCATATTTGAAAGCATTTATTGGTGGAATTAAGTTCAGTTTTTTATTGGCCTAAGAGCTGAAGTCATCAAAGTAAAGCCAAAGTCAACCACACATGGAGGACTGAGAACCCATGATTAATATAGGCTAGAAGAATATATTAATCATGAGTGAGCAGTATGTATAGATGAAGTAATGAGCATTAGCCCAAAGCTTAAACTAAGGTGTTTTTTCCCCCTTTCTGTGGCAAAAAAATGCAAAAAAGTTAACTGCTTCTAGTCTTAACATTCCCTTGTTCACTTTGTAATATTTTGCCACAAGCATCAGAAAGACTATAAAAAAAATATATCCTTGAACACCAAGGTAAATGGATTTAATGCAATAACATAGATATCTTTCCCCGATAAA